TGAAAGACTGGATAAATCAAAGCTGCCTGCAGCTGTTTTCAAGAATGGGCAATATAAGCGAGCATGCACAGCTGACTGTTGGAGGAGGACAAACAGCAGCACCAGTTGCAGGTCTGTGGCCCAGATCTAATGTTCACAGTGTTTTAACATGAGTTCCCACGAATCAATGCCAAGTTTGTAGTGATACCAGGCAGCAGTTCTTGAGCTTGTGTTTGATAATCTCAACACCTAAAGTGATCAGGTTCACTGGGGATTTTCATTGTATGTTGTTGAACTGCTGCCTGTAGCTCAGATAGTAAATCTGGGCCATGGATCACTGTGTGGCTCTTCTTTTCTTGGCATCTTGCTGCCTGTGGGGTATTGTGATTTTTCTTAGCAAAACACGACTCTGCCCCTATTTTCTAATTCCAGACATGTAATGGCTTTGGTCTACCCTTTCCTTGCATTGTTTTGGTCTGCCATCATTGTTACATTGTTACATTCATTTACTTAAGACATATATTTTAGCAATTGTGAGATGTTTCTCCATCCTCTCTATGCACCTCTGCTCATTTTCACATCATTCACAGATTATAAACTTGGGGATGAGGCTGTTGCCATCACTTACTTGCCTGCCTATATAACAGGAAATCACAGTGCTGCCCTGAATTAATCCCTGGAGGTACATTTTATTAGTTGTCATTTTCCAATAAACTGCAGAACCACTTAGAAATTTCATCTGTGGCTTGTAGTATCGTACATATGAACATGCTTTTCTCTGTCACCTTTATAGACCTTTTAGAAGAGATCAATAGACCCCACGAGTTCCTAAGTACAGCTTGAAACCACTTGATTCATTTTAGGAAAACATCAAATCTTGCCTTTCAAGTTTCAAGAATATACAACTTTGATACTTCCATAGCTTTCCATACTGAAAAGTATGCCTGTTACTTCTAATTTTAATTTGTCTAACTGGAACTTTCACCTTAATATGTCATTGTCCACTAGACAGAATAGCCTTCTAGAATCAATATCCTACCTCCAGGAGGTAGCTGTGACCCCTCTGATTTTCTCCTTGACAAGCTAAACATCTTGTGATTTTTAAGCTCTTCTCTGAATAGCATGTTTCTCAAACTCTAACCAATCCTGTCATTTTCCTTTCAGTGTTTTTCACTTTATTATGGTCCTTTTTTAGACTATATTCACAGGAACTTGATGCAGCAGTCTAATAACAGAAGAAAGCATAATGTCCCTACTCTAATTGATATTCCCCTCTTTAAGCAAATATCCAAGGATCCCAGTGGTAACGCACAAAGGTCTTTGGTTTTGCTACTTAACCACCATATTTCCAATGTTCTGAGGGGTGGACACACATCACATCTGTGCTCCACAGACAAACTACCTGACACTGGAGCATCTCCCAGCCAACAAGTTATAACAGAGGGGGCTACAGCCCATTGACTTCCTTGATAATCCACCCCTGTAATTTTTTCTGCATCAGTGCTTTCTAGGATTAACTACTTTATCTAGTAACTATAAATGTATTTGTTCCCTATGCTCTCTCCATAGCCAGTGGAGAGAAAGTGGACCTTCCAGAAAACAATTTATCCCATCCCAGCACAACTGCCTAAAACCACTGGGCTAGAGTGCCCTCTGATGGGTATCCAATTCTCTCAATGAACAATGAGAACCTGTGTGACTGGCTTACACCAGCCACTTTCAAAGGACTAAAATGCGGTGAGATGGATGCCACAAAAACTCGGTAGTGCTGCCATTGGCTATTTTAAAGCATAAGCTATGCCAGGGCTCAGCTTTACAGTTCTACCCGGTATCTACATGTCTATCTCCATATAACACCATTACTATAAATCAGCCTATTACTCCCCCAAGATTTTTGTCATCTACAAATGTCATGAGTAATGGCTGAATTTTTCCCAGGTCATTGCTGGAATTGCAAATCAATGCAGAAGCAAAAATTAGCTAAAGTGGCGCGCCCTCAAAAAGAATCCATTTTATAATGTTTCCCTTTTTAGTCAACATTTTTAAACCTGTCTTTTAATGAGTTTTGAAAACATTTAGTATGCATGACTTTCATTTCGCATGATTTAAATTGTGTGGTACCAAGTCAAATGCCTTATGAAAGCTGTAATTTGATGCTATTCTGTTTGTCAACCAGATTTCCAAGTTAGCATGATAAGATTTTCCAGGTTGATTAGCATTAATTATATTATTTTCCTTTTAATTTGTATTAATTGAGTCTTATATCAACTGTTACATTATTTTATCAAGATCTCAGTCAGGCTGACAGACTTGTAATTACCTAGGTCATCACACTTACACATCAGTATGTCCTTTTATGCAGTAACCATGATTTGCTGTAGGTCTTCATATAGAAATCACCTGATGCTTTAAATTGTCCCAGACCCTTAGAATACAGATTAGCCAATGTACTAGAGTGGTCTCCAGAAACTGAAGATCCAGTCATCTGCTCATAAAACTGTCTGAGCATAATCCAAACTTCTCACGCTTTGACATGGGGTTCTATGACACCTTATTATAAAGATACTGTTTTGTTTTGTAGTGGGTTTAGTGCTTTTTAAAGTGAATTGAAAAGCTGAAGCAACAGCCATTGGAATGCAGACCTTTTCTACAAAGGTCTACCAATGCATGTCAGTCTTGGTGCTCCATCCCAAAATCTTTCTGTACACCTGTACATCAAATGGAAAAATCTGGGATTTTTTTGATATTGGGGCTAAAGTAAATAGCTGATAATTGAGAGAATGAGGCCTGTGTTTGGAACCCCAGAGTAATATTCCCTGGTTGTTTTCTGACCTGAGGAAAAGACTCATCCCTTCTGCTACAAGAATATTTTTGGCTTTAGAACAAAGATGGCAGCTTCTCATGCTTTGTACAGGGAGGAATAGAAATGTACCATAAGCATATGATAGGAGTTATACACAGTTCCTCTTGATATATACCAAAGCCACTGGTGGTGGAATCCACCTTCCTGTTTTCATCACTGTCTAATTTATGAGGCCCCATGCTGTTTTGCTTTAGAGTTCTCTAAGCAACAAGTACCTCTGCTGCAGAAACAGGAATTTCATCTTATTTTTCATATCATCATCACAAGCAGTATGTACTTCATTAAAAGAAAAAAAAAATGCTGAGAAAAACCTCAGTTCTGTAGCTGGGTCAGTTTGAGGAAGTTTAAACTTGCAGTCTATATCAAGCCAGGGAGCACATCAGCCAAACAGCTGTGGAGTGTTTTAGGTGAAAGCCTGTTCCACTCTTGTGTCAAAGCTGGACCTGTGCAGCCAGGCAGGCATGGGGCCAGAAAGACACCGCATGACTCTAGCTCCAGACTCAGCTCTTAGGAAGGTGTATGAATTTTATATAAGAAAATTTATACAGGTGAAGCCGGGTACAGAAACAGCCTTGGAACCAGTGCCCTTTCTTGACTGAATTATATAACTGCTCAGATACTGTCAAAACAACTTTTGTCTGCCTTCTGGATGGAAGATAATCTGTCCTTCCTTCTCTTCCTCCTCCACCGCCTTAAAACGGCCACTGCACGCCCCCAAGGGGAAGCAATTACGAGTTCTAGCTCCCTAAGTCTAAGAGTGAATGAGGGCCTCAGGACACTGAGAAAGGGAAGACTTCACCACGGGGGTTGTGGTAAGGCCAGGGTATTGACCACCTCCTTTTATCTTACCAGGTACCTGCACTCAGAAGAGAGCTAGGTAGCTGGGATCCTATTGACATTTTCTGCCACTTCCTTGTAATGTAATTGGAAAGAGACAGACACATTGACTGGATGAACAGAACACATCTTCACAGCTCCCCCTGTCTTCATTTCCTGTAAGTCCTGTATTTGACTTTCTGCTTCTATTAGGATGATTGGGTTGGCCACCTTCCCTCTGTTTGCCCAGTTTCCCCCCTGAAATGGGCACGTAAAATATAGGCACATCTGCTCACAAATGAAGCACTGTTGGAGCCTTTCCATTATCTACCACATGGGAGCAGGATTAGGTTCGCTGTCGGTTTTGGGGAACATGAAAGGGATAAAGAAGCATGAATTATGCATAACAGAATTGCACCCTACTGGTTCCTTAAGACATACAAGATGTTTCAGTCCCATTGTCATCCTAACATGCTCTTGGAGAAAATGTTTCATACAGCCAGAGGCAGCCTTCTGAGTGTAGCAGGACTCATCCAATATTCCTCATACAGCACTATATTGACATTTTTCTTCTGCTAGTGAGGTGTTGTTTCGTGTTGTTAAAGGTCCGGCAGCATGTTACAATTTGTCAGACTGGCTAAGACTATATAAAATGCCTTAAGAAATAAACTGAGTAGGTAAGAATTTATTAGAGAACTGTTAAAACCTGATTGTTTTTTCTACGTCTTCACTTGATTATTTTCATTGCAGCTAATGGAAGGAAAAAGAGCATTAAAACGGCAATCTGATCACAGTCCTCACATGCCTTTGGTTTAGACCTGAACTCTCCCAGGCAGCAATACAATCTTTTAATACCAGACCCAACTTAATGATGGTCTAAATTAGTAGGAATTAACTTTTTATGAGAAGCTTTGGACAGTGCTTGGCATGACAGAAGAGCCCACATATTTCTCCCAGGGACAGCTGCCGGCTTTCTGCAGCCGGTGTGTTTTCTCCAGTCATTCCACTAAGTCTCCGCACCCGCCCTGGTGCAACTCAGCGATTTGAGTCATTCCAGGCCAACGGATAACCTTTCCGCGGCCACTGCGGGCCCGAGGGTGACGGGTGCGTGGCCTCTTTGCTGGCGGGCAGCCCCCGGCACACGGCTCCCACCGGACCCACCCGCCGGGTGCCCCGCGGTGCCGGCAGGGCAGGTTCACTCCGCACCGGGGCCAGCCCCCCCGCCTCGCACCACCCCTCCTGCCACTTTCTGCCCGGGCTGGAGACGGCGCGGCCGGTAGCTGACGGCAGACCCGGGCACCGCTCCCTGCCTCCCCGGCGCCGGCCGCTCCC